TGCATCCGTATCCTTTCATTTTCCAATCACTTAATAAAGGAGTGCAGATAGCTGAAGAGGGCTGCGTACTGTCCTAGAGAAAAGATCAACAACCCAGTACTATAATCGATATTTGTAACCCGCTGTCGATCCAACCATAAACCTAAAGTACTCAACTATCAACTAGCAATGTGTAGTTCAAATTCAGGGTGGCTAGCTATAAGATGAGCTCAGAGTAGGGGGCACTTAAAATAATAAAAGCTGAAAGACTCGAGATTTTTAAAAAGATTCATTAGATAGGAATACAGTGTTTAAAACGCTTCTATTTCTATATTAAACACAACTACCACTACTGCCACCAAGACTCATTAAGTATTTATGAAAAATGCAAAGTAGGAATTAACACAGAACCATAAATGGAAATGAGTACAAAACATCATCCTGTGCTATGAGGAGCTTTATAGATCAGTCATCTTTCAGTCTGCAACAAGCTATGGATCCATTCTAGTCAATTACACTGACCTCCAGTGGTGTCCTTCAGTGTTAAACACCTAGATTTTTCTTGGGGTAGACATGCATGGGGGACTAAGCGATTCAAGAAGAGCCCACTGTTTAATTATTCCTGTTCGCAGAGGCATTTATGTGAATGTGTTGGGAAAGAGGTGAAAAGGGTCGGAAACATGCCTGTGATATTTTCATTAATATAACATGCATTAACGGCCCATGTTAAAATAGGTGAATCGAGTTGCAGGTACCAATCAGCATGCAGCAGCCTACATTTGTAAAAAATGCAAAAGCACCAGCAATTCAGCCCGAACTGAAAAGATTCAATGTTTGCATAAACAGAAAAGAGGGATTGTTTTTAACATGCATTTTAAGCATCCATACTCAGAGATGGGTCCTGCTCCTGTTCTTTTATAATGCATGTGCTTTTTATGCTAATGTAAATCTAACACATAAGGAAAGCTAACATCTACCTCAAACTATGCTATGGTGTATTGATTCTAATCTAGCAAAGCAAATAAGTACATGGGTGCAAAATTATATGGACAATAGCTCTGCAAGTATCATAAAAGAGCCACCACCAGAAAATATCCCATCCACACTCACAGAAAAACACATGGGCTACCACAGACATAAAATGAAACTTACCTCTAGACTAGCCTTGCAAGGGTCCATATTAGGACCCCAGTTCCATCATGACAGTGTTTAGTAAAAACAAAAAAAGTGACAGAAATTAAAGATGTGGCTACATGATGTGCTCAATGCATGCACAGGTCGGCAGGGGGAAGAGATCAGAAATTTAGAATGACAATGACTTATTTTGAATCTAAGATTCAAAGGGATGTTTTTTCCTTCTAAAAAAAGAGGGGCAGCGAGTCATGCATGCATAGCGTGAGGGTGGCACAACAGCTCAATTAAGAAACCACAGTTCTTAAGATTACAAACTTTGGACTTCAAAAGGTCAGAAGAAAGGTAGCGGACAAAAAAAAAAATATTGTGGTCTGTATTCAGAACATGGAGGCTATAAGCAGGAAGTAATCAGCTTCATTTTGTACAACAACAAGTACACCTGCTCAGTAAATGCAAATGCATGTGATGAGATCTCAATAAACCATAACACAATCCTTCATCCAGAAAATATGAAGGGACAACATCATGACAACAGCAAAAATACTTTAAGATATGACCCTGACTGGCAATGAGACAGATATCCCTGAAGTGATGCGTCCCATTATGCATACTTAACCCATTCACCAGTGTGGGCCCACAATAGCCTGCAACAGAGCCTATATTCCTCTGATTTACAGTTATCATTGATCGCAGCCTTAGTGGAGTGAAAAGAGTGCTCTCCAGATAAATAGGTATCAACATCTCCTGAGCAGAAGGCGTCCGCCTGCTTTGTTCCCATCTGGTCTTCAACAGTATCATTTTAATTCAAGTCACATGAACAGCCAATTTAGACCTAATGGCCATAATAACCAGGTGTGGCAGTAGAGGGAAAGACATCACTGCCCTTGAAGGATGCTGCTGCTAATTCTGCTCGTTTTAGCTCATTTACTTCCAATCACATATACTGTACTCTACTGTATACACTGACCCGTCTTTGACTTCCTACACACATTACATCAACAAGCCACTCCGGGAACATAATGCAAGGCTGCGTGATGAGTGAAAATACATCTACAAATCACCAGGTAGCGATAAAATTGCTAAGTGGGAGGGACCATTTCTGGTTTCGCAATTATTTTTTCTTTGCTCCTGCAAGACTATTATATTGTAGCAATGCTACAGCTTTTTAACTGTAGCTGCAGGTTTCAGTCATTACAATATGGTTTCTGCAGAATCTTGTTCTGTCTGGCTTAGAAAAACAAAATACTACAATACCATTGATCTACAGCTACCGTCGCTAAAGAAAATAGACCAATGGTACTGTAAGACTAAGCAATATGGACCAAATATGATCCTGCATTAAAGCCATAAGAAGATTTCACATCTGAACTTTAGCCAATATCGAGAGAATGGGCAGCTTAAGACGATGCTCAGACCTGATTTTTCTGAGCAGAACAAAACAGAAGATCGACTGCATCACGTGAGTTCGGCAGGCTGGAAAAACACCATTTATTTTAGGTGATGAGTATCCTTGTTAGACACCTGAATACTTTACTGGACTTTGTGAAAACTCACTCAAGTCAGATCCCACTGCATATTCCTTCATGGGATAATTATAAGAAAGGTTTAGGGCTCAAACTGTTCAAATGGGGCACTGTGTCTCTCTCTGTGTTGCAGGCGTATTTGTGAGCTAGTGGGGCCACTGGGACTGCAGTGGACTGCACTGATGCAGCTTTAAAGAAAAAAAAAAAAAAGGGTTTTAGATTGCAACAATAAACCGTATCACTATCAAATATCTACTTTGAATAGATTTTAAATGTAAACGTATTGTCCAGCCCTGACCAGTGGCACCCAGAAAGGCTCCTCCCACTTTCAAAAGTGAGCTTAAAGATGAAAAACACTGCTATGATTATGACAAGTGTCATGGATGTGGTATCGAAGATTAGCCACCAACTCTCCCTTATCTGAAACCCTTTAAGCTTTAGCCGCCATGTATCCGTCTCTTTATTCATCACCTGCCTTACAGCTATCTTGTCAGTGTTCACCAGGCTGTCCTGGAGGGATAGGGACAGAAAGGCAAAGAGGACAAATTTACATCCCTGCTCTGAGTAGTGTAACCCTCCCACACCCGGCCCCGTGTTTAGCAGAGATTTTACACAGCTAAATTTAGCTTCGCAACCGTGGGATTCGTCCTCAATTTTAACTCTTAAATGTAGGTTGAGGCTAATGGATTCAATCCGAGTTTATGGCTGGGAAACAAATGAGAAGTGGGAAAGCAGAGATGATCCAAGTAGAATCAAGTAGGATGGATGAAAAGAAAAAAAAACTGAAGCAGAACTTTAGCAAACTGTACAGCTGAACTATAGAACTTCAGTTATTTACCTTTCAGCTTCGAGACCTTCTGACTTTTTAAATATCCTATTTTTTTTAGCTTTATAACATATCAAAAACAAATATATAGATTTATTAAACATATATTCATTGATCATTTTATCGTAGTATACCAGTATAGCACACGATGGACTGCGAGGCCTTAAATGTAGAATACGCAACACTGCGATGAGATTAATATCGTCCAAACGTCCTTTACACTGGCTTTTTCATTGCAGGTGATGGAGATGAATATGGATGGAGCATCATTAAGCAGTCATACACATGCGGCTCCATGTATGGCTCAGACTATAAATAGATTTCAGCGAAGTTTGTCATGAATGAGTCAGTGCCTTCATGGGTTAGGATCAAAAGATTAGAGGGTGAGACAAAGAAGGAAGCAGAGCGCCGAAAACTGTCTGTATGGGGGTCAAGGTCAGCTGAAGCATCCTTTCATCATTTGGAAAATCTGTGTCGAACCAAGTTATGAAATGAGATATGATACGTTCAGCGCTCAGAGCTTAGCTGTCATATTGGTCGGGGTGTTTCAATGTTTAAAAAGTGAATAAAAAGAACTGAACGTATACGTAGCATAGACTACACATCCTACTTTAAGTTGTTAGTTTTCTTAAAAGGCAGAGGTTGTTTGCAGAGCGTTTCATTTTCTCAAACCTGTAATATTACTGCTATCTTTTAAATAAAAGCCATAAAGCCTGAAACACTGTATCTGAGACTTTTGTGCATTTGCACTGGGACTGCTGTCAATTTCAAACCTTTATTCATAAGTACTGCTTGAGCACGCAACAATCAAAAAGATTCCAAAACATTAGAGGTAGAGATGCAAGAAGTTGTGTCATTTCCCGTTTTCTGATTCCTCTATGTTGGTCCATCCCACTCACTTGGTCTTTTTGCGGATCTCTTCCACCAGTTGCTTGATATGGTCCTCCATGAATTCGATTTTCTCCTGCTTCCGAGCTAGAGCCTTTTGCAGACGGACGATACGCTCAACGAGCACAGCCTTGTCGACCTCTGGGAAACTGTCCACAACCACCACCGAAGGGCCCGACTGGCTCTCTGGTGACCGCTCTTCAACGCCACTGCTGCTGCCATGACGTGCATTCAAAGAACCTGGAGTATCAAGGGGATAAAGACACACATCACCAATGAACAATTATCACTGATGTGGCTTTGATCATGTAAGAATGAGCTGTGAAATATTGCTTTCCTGTATGAAACATTGACTAGATACAATGTTTGGGGGGGGTTTTTAGAAGAAGAAGAAGAAGAAGAAGAAGAAGAAGAAGAATCTATCCCACTGAAAGGCCCAATAGCAAAAAATAAAAAATGATAACTTTAGGTGTTAAATACTAACCAAATCTTGGAGTAGTACCTGAGGAACTGGAGCGACTGCCCATACTGCTGGCATCCCGTTCGCACCCTCCATTCTCAACTTGCTCCAGCCTTTTTCGGGCTTTAGAGAAAAAGAAAGATTTGTTAACTGTCAAAAGGTGACTAATACCAAGATGTCATTGTCACAGACACTTTGTGAAAATCAACATCACTGACAATTAAATATTATGAAAATGAGCATCACAGCTCAGCTGAACTCTGAGTATTCCTCTTGGAAGGAGTCAACCTGAATAAACATGACACAAGTTGCTTTTGAAGAACCCTGCAGCCTCAGCAAACCTTCCAAGGTTGAACAAAGGCTTGAAATGACTATGCTGATTAAGTGTAACTGCTACACTGATGAAAAATTACTGTTTCTGCCAAAAAAAAGTCCTCTCTAGCCTACAAGACAGCTGAAAGTGAAAGGATTGATCACAGAACATAAAAGTGCTGAACTTTCAGCTCTAAGGTTTTTCTTTGCTCCCAGAGAAGAGGCGAGGGAAGCTGGCTCACCCTGTTAGGTATAACCACAGCAGGGATCCACCTGTACACTCATCAATCACTTTGCAGATTCTCCTCGTTATGTGACTCTGTGATAGTGTTCCTCTTTGTTTTCTTATCCAGGTATACTTTTATTGCCCTGACACTATTTTTGCGATCATTGTCATGTTGATTTCCAGATGGTATTGTGTTGAGAATCTCTTGAAGGTTTTCTGTATTCATGATTCCACTAGTTTTGACAAGATCTCCAACACCACTATTCCCAAATCATGACAGAGCCTTCACTGTAGGCTGTAGACACTCATTGTCTCCTGAAGTCCTTCATACATAGATGGCGATTTCAGAATCAGAAGACGGGCCAGATACATGTGTCAGGTTTTTGCTGGCTTTTTCCCCCAATTCTTAAGGATATGACTTTCATATAATGTTTATCTGATGGAGATAATTTTTCAGGCTTGGCACTTCTTCTTTTATCCTCAAATTTTTTAAAGCACACACTGTACACCATTCTGAGATATGCCAATATTTCACCTAATAGCTCTTTGGGAATCTCTGGTGTTATCTTTGGAACCAAAAAATAAGAACATGAGCAAAATGTCACAGCAAATGTCCAAAAAGAACTATGAAAGCCCTTCGATAAGCCTGGAGAACTATTGCTTAAGACTACTTTAAAAAATGACGAGAAGCTGGCTCCCTGGAAGCTAAATATAAAGAAAAATGAGGTGAATCAAGACTTTTCTGCAGTACTTTATGTATGAATGACAAAACTATTGAAGGGTTGATAATTCAATGAAATGATACAATTCTCTATATTACAGTTATTCTGTTGTTTCATGACAGTTAGCAAAGGGTTTGTCACAGTGGGTGTCTGCACATGTTTGATTTGCACAGATCTCTTTGAGACCGGGCTTCTCCTTAGATGGAACTCGGGATTTTTAACTTGTTAGGAAAATGTGTAAACCACTAAACAACCGAGACGCTGCCATTTTCCATGATAGATGTTTGAGAAATCATCTGCCTTTTCAAACCAACCTTTATTATTATTCTAGACTTTCTATACAAAAACAAGAGATGCATAAATACATTAGGGTATCTGACCTTGTGTTAGCTGTTTTGTGAGGTCTTTGATATTAGCAGCTTGCTTCCTTTTCTGAGTCACCAGCTCATCCCTCAGCTCTTCTACTCTGGTTTTCAGTTGGGCCACTTCCGTCTGCAGTGCTGCCCGCTCCTCCTGCAGACTCTGCACCTCTTGTCGTCTCAGCGCCTCTTCCTGTTTCAGTTGCTGTGACTGCAGGATTAATGGTGTAAGAAAAAAAAAAAGACTAATGATGTAATAACACCAATTATATAGTAGTAATATATATTGGAATGGCTGCTTGCTTTAAAAACAAAATTAAAAAGATATTTTAAGACTTTCTCCTGAATTTCGAGCAGGAAAATGTCATTACTTATAACAACACAGTGATCCACTGTATGTTTTCTCAGTTCTGCTTCTACAAAAGGATTCAAACACTTGATTAGAAAATGTATTTCAATCTTTCTTTAATCAAACCAGGAAACGTGAGCAGACGCTGAAACCAAAACAATTTGATAACAACTTCAAAAAAGAAGAAAAACAAAGACAAAAATGAGTTTAGTATCATTTTTATCTTTCATCTCATCAACAAATGCATTGTATCAGATAGTGCACTCAGAGTACGCCAACCTTGTCTTCCAGCAGCCTGTTGGTCTCCTGCAGCTTTCCTTGAAGCTCGGTGAAGTTGTTAGTTAGCTGGTCCAGCTGAGACTGTAGTGCGTTGCTCTCCGACTGAAGCTGAGCGTTCTTGCTGCTCAACTTCTCAGTGAAGCCCAGTAACTCCGCTTCACGCTCTCTGCTGCCTTGTACATCACGGTGCAGGTCAGCCATTTGATTGGTCAGGCCATCCACTTCATCACGAAGCGATTTGATTTCCTGTTCATCGCTACATCCAGAAAACAATAAATAAATCATTAAATGGGCTTCAAATGGGCTCAATGACTAAAAAAAATAATAATAATGATGGCAAGCTAAACATTTTAACTGTTCAATATAATTAAATGTACATGGATTGCATTGCTTATTTAGGTAAGCCTTTTCTTTTGCACAAATATAAAAATGTTTCGGTTTTCTCTACTGTGACTATCCCTTCTTTCTATTAAATCATCTTCACATGGCCATCACAGTCACACACCCACACAGGGACCAGAGTCCCTTTCCTGCCCTCTATGCTATATCTGTCTCTGCTCTATCTTTAAGTGCTCTGATGAAGCAGTTGAGTGAGAAAAAAAGAAGAACGGGTAGTATATTACAAACTGTACATTTCTATAAAAAACTGTCATGTCAGCATGGTAATACAGGTGCAAAGCAAAACAAAAACAAAAAAAACAAAACAAAAACTTATATTAAACATGCTTGCTCATAGTGAAATAACAAATGTCACTTTTTGTGCATTAAGTATATTTAGGCCCTTTAGTTGATGGTGCTTCAATATTTGTTACTATGTAAATGTGCTATCTTTTATTTATTTCTGTCAGATGCCACATATGCAAAACTGCTCTGTTCAGTGTGCGGTGGTGTCCCATCACACTTCCTATATGAGTGAGTGTGTGGCTGTACCATTGATGCTGCTCCTGAAGTGCAGTCACCTCTTCGAGCTTTTCTCTCTGGCGGCCAATCTCCGTTTTTTGCCGGTTGATGATCTCCCTGTACTTGGTCAGCTCATCCTCCCACCGTGGACGCTCATCCTCCAGACACTTTAACTAAAGAATAACACAACTTTCTTGCAGTGAAGACCTGGAGATATCCTGTGTGCCAATGTTTAAACACCAGTATGTCGGACAAACCTTTGTGCGTAGCGTATCAAGCTCATCCATGGCCTCTTTATAGCTCCTCTTCAGGTCTTCCAGCTCTTTGGCTTTCACCCGGTGTAGCTGCCAGATGCAGTAGATTGTCCATTAGATATGCAACCACTGTTTTGTGTTTTGCATTGCTTCTGTAAAAATAAGCTCTTAAAATAAGCTATCAAAAGAATACCCAACAAATTTTCCTCTCTTTTTGTTCAGTCTGGTAACTCACATACACAAAAGTTGATTATGGAGTTCCACAGGGTTCTGTCCTGGGACCAATACTTAAAGAAAAAAAAACAATTATAAAAACTTCTCTAAAGCAATATTATTCTGCTATGCAGATGATTACCATGATAGCCAGTTTATGTATGTAGCCATCCAGTTGCAAATAATTGCAGTCTAATTTAAAAACGCATACAATAATGAGCACAAATCCTCTGCAGCACCTATTTGGTACACCCTGACTGCAAATAACTGGCTGGTTACATTTGCTTGTATTCTGGTCATCTTCCTACATAAAAGCAAGGTTGCTGAGTGCCATATCGTGTTGCATCCTGCAGCAACAATGTCACTATTTGTGGAGAAATTTCTGAATTTATCTTTTTCAGCTCTTTTCAGAGCTGGATTTAATGTGAATTTCTGTGCATACAGACTGCAACAGATTTACAGAAGACAGATTTGTAACATTTGCTGATTAATTACAGACTACATTCAACCTCAGGCTGATACCAAACAGACTCCATCTTATTGCCGTTTTGTCACTCTGAAGATGGCAACTGAATGCGAGTGGTCATAGACCTGCCAGAGTCAACAAGATCATAAGTTGCAATAATTCTGGCCCTGCCAGTCTCCAATTACTGTTTACCCTAATGTCACCAAACCCTTGTTACTCATGCTTTATATTGAGAAAACCTATTATTTGGCCCCAAAAACCTCTGAAATCTAATGAGTGTATAACAATACCCTGCCCTCCAGTACTACTGAGACGACTATGGAGTCATTTTTCACCAGGACTGGTCGTTTGACTTGCAAATGAAACATGCAGTTGGGGCCACACCTTCTTTCACTTCCACACTATACTCAAAATAGGAAACTCTGTGATTCACAGTGATGTTGAAATACTAGCCAGCATATTTGTCTATAAATAACATTGGTCAGAACTCTGCTAATTCTGACTGATTATTACATCTTAAGTTCAGTGGTTTTACAAAGCAATGCAACTATCGGTCAAAAAAGAAAATCATACAGTTGCAGAATTTTTAATGCAGAAGCATTCCTGGGCAACCTGTGTGTGTTATAGTAATCTGTTCATTAAAGTTGCTTTATTTATGCATTAATTAAGCATGTGAAAGCAATGACCATCTTTTTAACAAAGCCATTACCAGTGCTACTGAAAGTCAACTTTTCCCAGAAGCTATTAGTAGTCTGTGGTAACCACGACAACATGGCAGTAATGGAGATGCTGGTAAATTTTCTACTGTTGATTCTTACATTTATCCCTTCCAATCTAATTTTATAGCCAAAAACTAATGGAAACTTTGTACTTGCATTATTTATGACTGAGATGCATCATCACTTGAGCATAACACACATACTAAAATAAACACAGGCTTGGACCAGTTTATTCATCAGCAGAGTAGTGACATCTGCCAAAAATCAACATCCATGATAAACCCTGTCCTAAAAACTATTTCCACACAGTATCAGTGATGGCCCTGCAATGTACTCTCCAGTTACTGGGAAGAATAAAATCTCTGACATAATACCTAACTGGATGAATCTCTTTATGATCAAATTTCAGACCCCTGAAGAAAACAAAACAATGTAAAAAATCTCTGCCACCTTAAATCCATCAAAATGTAAATCTAAGACCATCTCATTTAAACACAGACATTTTAAGGACTTTCTAGAAAAACAAAACAGGCTGTAGAATGAAAACAGGAGATGTGTGATGTATCCTGAGTTGTTGTTGAAATGCACAGCTTCATATTGATTATTTCTAGGCCATTTATTTTTAAAGTGCATTTCCCTTTAGAGCGGGAAGCAGCAAAAAACAGGCCATTGTGTTTGGATTGAGTCCACGTTTGTGCCTGCGTGTAAGGCATGTCTGCTCGGGGAGCGCGAATGCCAGTTTGTTATCTCGTCCAAGTTAAGGCAATTACACCTCTCAAACTGAGAAAAACAGGCCAAAAACATTTTTACTAGAAGAGCTGGCATCGACAATCAATAAAAGGCTGAATAATGGCTTGGCGAATCACAGCGTATGTGCAATTTTGAATTATTGTTTGTTTTGTCTTCTGGTGCCTCGTCACACAGATAAAAATCGAAATTGAGTTCACAAGTAAAAGTAAACCTTCATTCATCAAACAGTTATGTCACCCACTAACTATTGTTTTTGCCGTTTTGCATCAATCGTTGTCCAGGAGTGAATATGGGGATCTCTACACGTTAAAAATCAGTGCATCCTCACAAAAAGCAGAGCTAGATTTCTCACTTGGAAAGTCAAATCCCAACTTCATAATCCAAGATTGCAGCAGTGTGAAAAAGCAGTATAACTGCAAAACATAAACTCAGGATGGCGTCTCTCCCAGCTCAGACATCCAACTTTTAAGATTAAAGAAAGCAACACAAGTTACAAATCTTTAGTTTTATGCAGTTTAACCTCATTATCAACTAAGTGCACAAACGTAACCAATTTATTTAAAGTTCCTGTTGTTTTTTGTCAGTGTCAAAGGCTCCTTCTAGCAACCTAGTTTAACAAGTTAATCTTCAATAAAATGGGGAGGGTTTTTTTATTCTCTACGTTATAATTCTCTTTTTTGTGTTATTATTACATTTTCCCCAATTTTTCAGTTTTCAACTCTTGTTAACACAATCTAACAAATCTACTGCTTATTCAGTAAAAGTCCTAATGCTATAATGCAATGTAGTAAACTGAACTTGACATGCAGATGCTATGTTTTGCCTTAGGAGGGCAAAGTGGATGATAGGATTGGGTCTGAGAATGTGTTGTGTATGCGTATTTAGTTTCACCTCTAACTGGTCTGTTTGTTCCTGCTTGTGTTTCTCCAGCTCTCCTTTCGTCTCCCTAAGTTTAACATCAAGCTCATTGGACCTGAGTTCTTCTGATTCCTGAAATAGAGTAGACAGTGAAGATTTTAAAAAACAAACAGGGCAAGAGAAAAGTCAAATACATTGTAAAAGGACAGCCTTAAAAAAAAAAAAAAAAAAAAAAAAAAAAAAAGAGGGGTCTCAGTTGAAGGAAAATATTTTTATAGACACAAATAAGAGGGAATAACTGCCAGTAATGATTTTCCATTTGTGGTTTATGTCATATTGTTTTATTTTTAAGTCTTACTTTGTGATATGCTGACACTGTTGTCTGCGATTAAAAAAAAAAAAGGTAATAATCTTTCTACCACAGAGACAGAGACTAGCACAGCTCTTTGCTACCATCACAAGGTACAAATGAAAAATGCTTTTCTCTTGAAGCAGAATCGGTCGTGCTCAAGTTCAGTTGTTACTGAATAGCATATTTTCAAATTCTATGAAAAGAACAATGCCGCGGCAATAGCGTCATGCAGTCTTTGTCTGCACGCGTAATAGCACGTTATAGTTAAAGATCAACTTTTGTGTTGGGTTAGGCCATTTATTCAAAAGTAAGCCAACTGATTGCAGTGACAGATACAAATCATGCACAAATAAACACTTATTCAGACTGATTCTGGGAAAATCTACTTCTTCCATGGTCTTGAGCAATCTGTTATTTTCCCGTGTTAAATATCACAAACCTGGTATGTTCGAATCATGTCCTGGCAGTTCTTGCGGATCTGCTCAGTCTCTTCCTTCGCCTGGGCCAACTTGGACGTGGTCTCTCTCAGTTTGTCTTTAGTTTCCTGCAAATAAACACAAATATGCTTTTGTACTATAGCACTAAAGCACAATTTTAAGATGCACAGACACCTGTCAACCACACAGGTTACCACACAGAAAAGTGGCTCAACAGCTGCGACCTTCAGGAACCACCGACTTTTTTTTTTTTTTTTACCATTTCCCCTCTGTTTATAGCCTCATATTTGCTTGGAGTCACTTCAAAAATAAAACCATTAGTTTGTAATAAGACACTCTCAAAAATAGCTATGATGTTAATGATGATTTTCTCGCAGGTCCATTACTGTACCATTTTCACCCCATTTCATTTTGCCTGTGAATCACAAGACGCCTCTAATCATGTTTTTTATGGCGTGTCTGCAGACAAAAATGACTGAAGGGGATGTAATTTGTATGCTGGCGTAAGTCTTTGACAAACAACCGGTCTTTAAACTAAAGGAAATTAACATTAACCAGAAGAGGAATGCTGTTTTAATAATATGGGTAAGGCACACTCTGAAAACTGGAGCTGCATGTAGTCATGTAAATGTGTCATTTTAATTTTTGAATAAAATTTGGCTCTAGCATGCTGAGGTGCACATGCTCACTCTATAATATCATCGAAATCCTGAGGATAATATATGCAACAGAGGTCAAATTAACCTTGTACACCTCCTTTTTTACCTTCATTGACTATTAAATTTTAATAAAATAACAAAAAATAAACACAAAAGTTACATTACCTTGTGCGCATCTGCCTCACTCTTTAACTTGTTCTGGGCCCATTTGACCTTGATCAGATGGGAGTTGATCTCCTCCTTTAGTTTGTCCACATCTCGACTCAACCTGCCAACCTCCCCTTCCTAAGAACGCAGTTCAAAGGACAGATCAGCAAACAGATATTTGGTTGGGAGCCAACATTTCTTTTTATTAAAAAAAACCTGCTTTTTGTTTCTCACTGATAGTTCTAAAAGGGTCCTACATCTGCAAACCACCGTAGGAAGAATAAATCTATCGCCCACACAATGCTCGCTTCACTGAAAAACTAATATAAGGTCGCTTATGTGATCTAATTTTCACTGTGAAGTACTGTGTATTCAAAGCGAGAGCTATGTCTATTTTTTTATTATGTCTAGTGGCAAATTAGGCTGAATTTAAATGAGTTCAAATAGATAAATACAAAACTCTCTCTATAAAACAGAGGCACTATAAAATGGTCACCTTTGCTTCATACAGCTGCTGTAGCCGCCCTTTCTCCTGAGCCAGCTGGTTTCCTCGCAGGGCCTGGCGATCCACCTCTTTGGTGGCTTCTCTCAGTTTCTTCTCCAGACTCTCTTTATCCCGCCTCAGGTCGAGGGCCTCTTTCTCACCCCGCACATATTTCATCACCATGGTCTCCTTCTCTTGCCTCGCCTCATCACATTTCTTATTCACCTGGGGAGTTTTATTTTTTTAATATTAGGAGATGTCAGTTGACACTTCGATCACTGAGATACTCGTATTGTTAGGTCCTTATACATATCACAAAAACAACTGACGTTTCTCTTGGAACTGTCCAACAGCAGATGGCTGAGGCAGTGATTTATCAGCTACCTTACTTTGCCTTCCATAACCTGGACAAGTGACAGACAGCTGGAGAAACACATGCACCCTCCCCAGATGCAGTGGGGGTAGATTTCAGGACTGTCACTGTTCATCTGTCAGCATGTCAGCATTTTACAAATGGAGCCAACAAGCTTTCCATTTGCCAGCTATATTAAAAAAAATAAAAATCTGCTCCTTATTGAAGGCAATTTATTAGCTTATTATTTAGTAAAGGACAGTAACGCTCCCAGGCTTTTATAATTCCCATATTTTTCTTTTCTTACACTAACAAGGGCTTAACTGTATTTTTTAAAATGATTCAGTAATTCATCAACGTAATTAAACAAAATGAGTTTTTTTTTTAAAAATGGTAGGAAATGGTATCAAGGAACCAAAGAAGACACATTCAGTCAGTGAAAGCTTGATAAATAAATATGTGCCATTTAAGCAGCTGATGTGTGTATGGCTGAAACGATAGTAGGACAGGCTCTGCTAACACAGTTAAACATCTAAAATAATGTGTGGAGGAAAAATAACATAATGGATGCGTTCTTCCATAATGACATTTTCCTTTTACAAATATTATACATTCACTCTGCAAGTCCCAACCTGAAGCCCTTCATTAGCCGAGCAGTTTTGAAGACCGAGCATCACCATGGTGCACCTGCTATGCAGACACTTTCATGGACAACAGTTACGTCCCTATGCCTGATCTGTACTGTTCGCTCTAACACGCTGATGCTTTATGAAAGCAAGAGAAAGAGAGAGACACTGTATAAGCTGTGTAAGAGACGATATCTGGCAACTGACTAGACATTTTAACTGATCGCCTCACTCTTATTTTGAAGGTTCAGATTTTGTTAAACAGTTATCTCCAGTCCTACACATATTTTCCTTCAAAGCTGTGTCACTGGTCAGTTTGATATCAATATTCTTGAAATCAGCTGCTTCTTGAAAAAAAGAAAAAAGAAAAAAAAAGAACAAAACTGGAGGGACTACATTTCCCACATCACCGTCTATTACAGGTGATGGCAGTTCTTCTTCTCCTCTGTTTTTAATTTGTTGCAAGCTGGAGGTGTGCTCTGAAAATAATAAGCAGCAAGTGGATAAACTACTTTGTGTGCTGCTATGTGTCCTGCAGAGGAGAAAAAGGCTTCTGCCACCCGCTGTGGTTATGATGGAGCTGAAGTCTGTCAATGGGCGATTCCTCTGAAAGGCAGCTGATTACACTCTTTTATTTATTTGTTGCACAGTACTTGGGATGGCGTGTATTTGCACAGGAGAACCTTATAAAATTGTATTATAAATTTAAGAAAGGCTGTGCATGCCTTCTTTCTTGTACAAAAGCACACGGGTCCACCAACCACTGTGGGGAAACTCAAAGGAAAGAAATGATCTTTTATTTGGCACAAAGCGTCTTTAGATTAACAATACCAAATGTTTTGATCCTCGGGGGCTCCAGCTGATTAGGAGCGGGACACACTATTAGTACAAGAGAGGAATGATTCAAGAGAAGGGCTTAAAGAGAGACAACCAAGTGCAAAATCAAACCCCTACTGCTCATTGAGCAGTGAAATTAAAAATTGTAAAGTGTGACAAAACTGTCAAGAGAAAAGTCCCTTCCATGGTTTCAACCAGGTGTGCAAATGGTTGGATGAAAATGTGCTTCCCTGCACTATTCGTTTAACAAGTGATTAAATCTGCAATAACAAGAGTTTGCCGTGCAAAGACCTTGAACATTCAGCTGCTAGTTTTGCACAGACAGCTTGAAAGAAAATGAGAATACAAAAGCCTGAGTATTTTTGTAGTTAGACTTCAATTTAACCATTTCAGCAAGTACTTTCATCTAAAGACTAACACAAAAATATTTAGAAGAGAATGTGACATTGACATTTATATTTTAGAAAGCCATATCTCAAACTAGAAAGCAAGGGGAATACTTAGCAAGGGGAAAAATATAAGCAAGGGGAAAACTGCTTTATGTGCTGCCATGTATCCTGCCCTGATACCCCTATACTCTATTCAGCAAATAGGTGCATTATTACACAATGTGAACCTTTCTTCTATAAACAGAGTACATACAAAAAAAAAAACCCTGACTGTTGTGAATGATGTGAATGACTAGTCCAGAGCGCTTTGTTGTGGTTTGAATTTAATTAGCTGTCTGAGATGCTGTTTTTTCACTATGCGATCT